AGGGGAGCGATAAAATGTGAGGACGTAAGCCAAGGGAGGCGTATCAGCCAAAGCTCGAAACTCGGTCAACCGGCTCTATCAATCTATTCGTCGTACCTCTGAAGGGCGAACTTTTTGGCTTTGGCAGGGTAGAGTACCGACCTATTTGCAAGAATCGAAGGCAGAGTTAGGCCAAGGACACACGAGACGAGATCGCGATTAGTTACGGCCGATCGCGAGATCGCCCCCTTCCTACTATTTTTACGGGTAACGACGTAAAATCGATCGCGGTCCCAAGGCGACGTACGTGAAAAAAAAAAAAAACAAAGATGAAGAAAGGAGACGACACGAAAGAATGGACGACGTGTCCGTTCGTTGTCGCTCACGATTCGAACACTTCGTCGTGTGAGATTGCGAAGAAGTTGGGATTTTTCTTATGTGACTCTCTCTTTCGATTGACCTCGAGATTGACTACGTGTCGCAAGTGTAATTTCTTGTTCTTTTCGATGTTCGCAATAAGTATCTACGTAACTAATTATGTAAGTCAGATAGATATATTTATGCGCCTATTGTATGGTCTGCGACGCGCAGATTTCGCGCATAAGTTCAGGTGTTATCCGAAAGTCGGGCAAGTTTTCATTCTCATCCTCGCGCCTTCGCACGATCAATTCTTGACTTTCGACATTGAGATTTTACCGTGGAGCCTATTCTTGATAGTGCGAGATGCTCACTTACCTGTCACTGTCTGGCTCTGAGGACGCGGCAAGGTGTTGCTTCCGGAATTTAACGTCGGGGTTGAGGGTAGGTTCGACGAGAAACCAACCGATCCACCGAAGGGCTTTGGGCCGATGAGACTGTTGCTCGATGGTGCCTGTGAATTCACAAATTTCCACCTTTAACTGCCCCGTCGTCGTAATACGGACTTTATTCTCGTTTATTGTGCGAAAAGCGGAACGCCGTATAATTTTATTTTCGGAGCACAATTTTAATGCAATTTCCTTTCATCGACAAATCGTAAATGTAGCGACATTATTCTTCCTTTAAGCATCGACAATTTTCATGTCGAGCAAATGAAACGAAACGATATTCGCGAGAAAGAGAAAGAGAGAGAGAGAGAGAGAGATCAAAGTGCAACAACAATTGCGGAATTGATGAATCGTGAAAATGGTCGCGGAAGCTCAGCCGATTATACAAGATCAACGATCCACGATTCCGAACACGCAGCCGAAGCGTCGCTCTGCAGCTACGTTATTTAGATTCATTCTGAAGGATCCGTACGAATTTATACATTATGCGGGTTTAACGACTTTCAAATGCGCAAGCGAGGTGTCTCACTTTACAGTTACGTTATCTCGATACACATTTCCGACGATTATCCGTCGAATTAATTTCGCGGTGTCACGAAGTCGCGAGGTATCAACCTATCGTTCCGCGTCGCGAGCTTTTCGCGAGAGCGCGATACTGACGATCTCAGGACGGCGATCGAGGAATCGGCGGGATCGACGACGAACGTTACGAATCGTGCTGGGACTTTACCTGGACTGATCGCAAGCTGGGCGAATCGACGGGCGAGGTGCCAAGGCGGGTGGGCTGCAATGCATAAAACGACACAACGTGGTCACGTGGCTCGGGCAATTAAAACAAGCGGGGGGAGGGAAGGTGCGAGGGACTAGGAGAGGAAGGGGTTGTAGGGGGCGAGAAATCGGCACGGAAACGCTCCCGATTGCGACAGGCTAATTAGTCATCCGGTCGAAATAGTCGGTCGCGATAGATAGAGGAGAATTAAACTGAGTGGTAGACCTAGAGTCGACGAGGAAGCTGACGATGATCACAAGGACACCGCGGTGGAATGACGAGTGAACCGGTGACTGATCAATCGGTTTCGAAATTCACGCCTGATTCAGCGTAGGTGACTCTCTCGCATAATCGTTTCGCGTCGTGTCAACTGTTAACGGACATTCATTCGCGGATAAGTTTTCTTCGTTTACATTTCGGTACTTACGATATCACCTAATGTATGCGAGATACCGCGTTTGTGTAATTCTTTGTGCCGATCTCGGTTTCGGGTGGACATGCATTGTCTTGTCGAATGAAAGGAAATATGTTGAAATTCGATAAATGGGTCGATTTTCCGAAAGGCCATAATCCCGAAATCTTGATACCAAAACAATCCGCTGACGTTTTTTTGAAATATTGGAAACACGCGATTTATGATCACAACACCGAAATCAAAACAATATCCCGAAAAATGATTATATTATTATATGATCGTTATTATTTTGCTAAAGTTGCTTTTTTCTAGAAAATTTATTTTTCGTTACATTGCCCCGTTATATTGATTTCGGCTTTATAAATTTTCATCGCGCACTTCTAATATTTTTCGAGAAGGTTTTATTTTAAGAAACTGTCTTAGTATCCAGATTTTAAGATTATGACTTTATGAAAAAATGTCCCACTTTTCGAAAGACGCAACGTTTATTATTCGGGACACTGCATGTACACACGATTTTGCATTGTCACATGTGTCGGATGTGTTATGTGTAAGGAAGGAAATCATGAGGAAAGGCACACGCTGGTGCTTTAGCGTTAGCGCGGATACAGGGAGATCGAGACCCCGAGCACATTGCCAACCTCTGTGCCACCTGTTTGGATGGTGATCGTGCTCGTGAACGTTTTCGATTCCCCGTTGCACTCGCCGTTCCGGATGTATCCGTTCGTATTCGTGGTCGGTCGCCGGGTATGCTGGGATCCAGAATCGGGACTCGTACGATTGCACGCCTGGAAAAGCGATTAGTTGCCAAGCAAGGACCACACTTGTTAACTTCTCAAAATAAGCGCGCGTCTCATCGTCGAGAAACGATCCTTCGTTAAGGCGTCACGCAATTCGTAAAATAAATAAAATTTCAGAATGATATTTTTTTACAGAGAAAAGGATATTAATCTGAAAAACAGAAAAGGTCAGAATTGACCGTTCGATATTTCAAGTGTTATGGAAAAAAATTTTCCACGCGCCTAGATGGTAGAATATATCGGTATTATTTTCGCTCGAATTGAAATAATTGCATTGAATAATAACAAGATTTCATTGAATATATAAATTTCATTCGAGTAAAATATTCCAGTTCGCGAACGGCAGTTTTCCTTACTTTATCGCGAATCATCGGCTTCGCAATGAATTCATCGACGCTGCCTTTCACGAAGGTGACGACCATCGCGTTGCACGTCTATTCTATTCTCGGTGTGACTTAAAACAGAAATCGTTAATGCGAGAAATTTCGTCGCGACCTTCGTCCGACTCGCGATCGTAAGAAGTGCCATGAAATCGCGCGCGAATGCAACAAAGCCACGCTCAATGCAAAATACTCGCTTTATAAGCCATACCAAAACAGGCAAGAAAATGCGAAAAAATCCTCCCGTAGCATGCCTCGTAAAGAGAATCAAATTATGATGAAGCAACTTACGGAGAATGGCTGAGGCGACGATCCGTGATTGCTAAGGGGCGGCGATAAAGGTGCACCCACACTCGCCAATGCTGCGGAAATGGTGCCAGCCGGTGCTTTGCCACCTCTGTCGAATCACAAAGAATATCTTGTCATCGATGACCTCACGAATTCAAGAGGGATTCGCGATTTATCGAGGGGAAAATACGCGAGAAATATCTGTAGAGAAAGAAATATATACAAACTTGAAACAAATTTTTTGGAGGGGGAAAATCTATCTTTGTTACGATTACTAACACGTGTTGCTTTATCCTGTCCATTGATCGCTCAAATTTGAATGGATGAGTATTGTTTCATCTACATGACATTATTGCGTTTCGTTTTTCTGTTTTCACAAATCACACGTCTGTTTATCATATCGTATTAGATCGTAAGTGACGATGCAACTTACGGTGGAATAGTGATCGGTACGAGACCAGCCGGTGCGTTTTGCCTGGCGACGAGTTTCGCGTGAATGTCGCAGTACAATTTATTATTGATATTGTAATAACCGACGTTCTTCAGGGACGTGCCGCAGGTTGAGCACTTGAAGCACTCCACATGAAGGTTCTTGTCCTTGATCCTGACGAACACACCTCTGCAGGGAGAATAAAATAGATATTAACGATACACGGCCGTACTCCACCTCAGGTGCGGCAATTAACTTTCTTTTGAAGGTAACAGTAAAGGCGAGATGATGACGTCGCATCGGATGTGCCACGAGTTTTCAACTGTACTATATTCACTCGAGTACAAGAAGAGAAAGAGAGGTAACTCGACACCTCGACGAAGGAGGCCGGGAGTAACTATTATTTCGTATTATGATCTCCATGAGAATTATATCCGACGGATGAGAGAGGACGATGAGACACGGGGGCAAAGCTACAAGGAATGTGTTTAGAACATTGATCTCCGGTAGCGAAGTGAGTCTCTCTCGAAAAAAAAAGGAAAACAACCTTGTCAATAATACTCGTGTTTTATAAACTGAGACTAAAACCAGGTGGTCAACACAATGTGAGTTGTACAGTGTAATTGTAATGTTTTTAATGGTGTAGCAGTAGTTCTTCGTAATACTCTACACTCGAGATTGCAAGCCAATTCTGTTCCTCGAAGAGAAACAAGCATACTTTAATGCAATCTCTACGAAATTTATGAAAAAGAAAAAAAAAACAATTGGTAAAATTGGTTAAAGTGTAGCGTTGGGTATCGGCGTTAACCGTAAAATGCCATGAAAAATCGCGCAAAAATTCAAAAGTTTCTCTCGTGTTCACCCGACCGACCGGGGAAAAAGTCAAAAATGTAAAAAGTCTGGCTAAAAAAGAAAGAAAAAACAGGGCTTAGAAATAAGACGAAAATTTGAAAAAAAAAATTTTTTTTTCACAAAAATAATCATCACAACATCAAAAGCGCTTGTCACGTTACTGTGGTCATTCAGTGTGCTGTAAAAATGCGTTGAAAAGGTGCTATTAAGAGAGTGCAAAGAGTAAAGAGACACTTAAGTACGGCTAGTGTTCAAGCTGCGAGCGAGCAAGCGGAAGAGACTTTCGTCTCGCTCGAATACGACTTCCAGTAGGTTGTAGCAAGCTACAAAAAAGCTCCAATGATCACAAATGATCAACTTGTCCAGAGATAACAGCGAGAAAATGCACAACGAGAATCCAAGGGCGCTTCGTTCCTCCTGAGGAAGCGATGTTGACGAATAAAGAGGCGACAGAGAAAGGCGTGTTCCGTCCGAGTCCATCAAAAGGATAAGCGTGCACTTCGCGTGATTGGATCTTTCTAATTTACGCAATTGCCAAAAGCTCCCGTGCCACTCATTTGTAGCTTCATCTTCCCCGCCCGTAACTTGAGTTCAATTCAAGTTATCACATTTCTCGCACCGCGACGTTAGCTTTATCTTTTTCCCTTCCGCCGATAACGTGCGGTCCCGTCACTGCGCGATAAGCTCTCTACGATTTTGGACGAATTCAATTGACGTGCACACTTGTCTTCGAATCGGAGTCTTCAAGATGATACCAGCGTACGACAATCGAGCAATTCGGAACGGCGTCGTTTACGCGGACCTCCGGCGATCGTACGAGGCGCATAATTCGCCGACCGAGAACAACAAAGTCGCGAGTTCGACGCATCGAATTGCAGTCTCTGTCGCGTTGCATCATTGGTATGCTTGAGACGTTGCGCGAATATGAGCTGAGAAGACGCATCACTCTCGTAAAAATATCTCATTGCTCAATTTCAATTCGACTCAATTTTTCAACAATTCCAACTTGCATTCGTTAAATTACCGACTGATTAGTTGAACAATTCTACAATTTAGCAGTCGTGCGACTCTCCCGCAAATGTTCGAGCAGCTCGAAGGATGAGTAAGGATCATCGATCCTCGGCTAATATCCGAGCCGTTTGCGCGAAGCTCCAACGGAGGCAACAATTGCTCAAAGTCGCCGTGTCGTTCTCGGTACGCGAACGTGAGGTGTCTCGAAAGCGCCGCCAGGAGGGGACCCGCGCGCCGCGGCCGTCTCTCGTGCAAAGGGGTGGTGTCTTTCTCGTAAATAGTTACACGATCACTCGGTCGCAGTTGTTACAAACGACCCCGCCCGGCGTCGACGACCCCGCGGCAGCGGACGCCTGCGTATGCTGTGGCTCCTGATGCCTCGATACGTCGGAATTCGACGTGGCCAGCCAGCTACCGGCAGGTACGCCACCACCACCGCCCATAGCATGAAACATTGGCGTGGGTGACCTCGGCGAAGTGGCCCTTCCGCCAACCGCGTGGCTCACCGAGGAGTAAAACTCTGTCCTTGAAGGAACTACGACATGGAAGTAAGAGAAAAAAAAGCGCCATGACAACGCCACCATCGGGAGAATGTGTGTCGGACGTGACCGCTCGATGAAGCGATAACTCTTCGGCAACCTCGTGCGCTTTTCGATATAGGCGCGCGCGCGCGCGCGGATCTCCGAATTTTCAGATTAGAGGGTGCTTATTAGGAATGAGAAAAATCCGAATAGCTTGAGCGAAGAGAGAAAGCGAATGAACTACCAGTCGAAATATACTGGGCAATTGTACGGAAAAAAGGTAAATTAAGACTTAAGTAGCAAGATGACGTCATGGTGACGTTTTAATAACGACTTAATGGCATCTCTAACGTCTCGATATAAGACATCGTTAAAACGTCATTTGACGTCACCCTGGGAAAGTTCATTGAACTTCGTGATACAAGCAGTTCTCCGCTTTTAGTTGAAGGATCAATCAATCCAAGTCATAAACATGATCGATAACGAGCCAAATTTTGAGCTTGCTTTCGAAACGAAACGAATTAAAATTTCTCTGAAAAATCACGATAGTTAATTTTAATAGTTTAATTTTCACCATAGTTTAATTTTCCGTATACTTCACCCTGAAATCAAATTTTTAACTCTATTCGAATTGTTTCGACTAATTTTTCTTTTTATAGTACCGCGAAAATATTTAATTCTGAATTAGGACGACCGGTAAATGAATTTCGGCGAGAGCTATGCGAACGTGAGCCGAGAGCTCTAATCCGGAAACCGGAAATCCGCGCGACATGCGCGTCGAAAGTGGCAGAGCCCCGTCGTGGAACGCGATCGTCGTGATCGTCATTATCGTCGCCTCTCCTCACCTGTGTGTGTGCCTATCCGCTGAAAAGTCAAAAAGCGCAGAGGACGCGTGTCCGTCCCCGCGGCGACTAAACTTACACGATGAGCCTCTCGCATTCGGCACAGATGTTCTGTCCTGGTGGAAGGCTCGATTGCGGCGTCGACGGCTGCTGCGGCTTCGTTTCCGGCGCCTGTACCGGCCTCAGTCCTGCCAGGGCGGGCGAGGACGGCGTTATCACGCCGCTCACCGTAGTGGGTTCCGCTATTTCGCAAACAAGTTATCGTATCGACATGCAATAGGTCGGCTGACGACTCTCGGTCCAGCCTATCGATCGATCACCGAAGACCGCAACAACGGGAGGAGAAACCGGCTCTCCCGCTGTGCTTGAATTCTTTAACGCCCCGCGTTGCGTTTCGCAATTTCACGCGGATCACCTCGAAAAATATCGTTCGCTTCGACCATCAGTCGGAACAATGAACTTAAAAGCGCACGTGAGAGCGAACGCGAATCATCGGACAGACGCGGTACACGCTCTTCGGTGATCTCTTACGTTCGCACGCATGTTTAGAGAGTGGGAACGAAATAGCGTGTATTAATAATTTCGAACTCTCCGGGAAACAGCGTTACGTGAGGTATCTCTCTGGGGGGAGGAAGGGGGGACAGTGTTACGTGAGACACCTCGCCACAATAAGCTGAATCTTACTAACCAGGCTCCGGTGTCTTTGGTTCCTTGTCCGCTTCCTGGACCATCTTGAATACCTCGCTATTCTCGGCGTTGTAATTCTTCTCGTTCTTCTTGAAATTCACCCTGCAACACACGCCTGGGTGAGCGCATATTTTTACGCTCGTCGACGGGCTATCATCGATCAGGATCGATTGCGAACACGGTCTAGTCGCGAGTCCCAGTGAACGATGATTACTCGTGAGACCCGACTGCGAACACGGAACATCGGCATCAAACCTTTTCCCGCCGATAGCGACCGCAGATTTCGTATCGATCGCGCGATTTCGAGACCGGAGAGTCACTTTAAGGACGCACTGTCTTTAATCCCGTCTCATCAGTTATCTCCCCCCCCCCCCCCCCCCCCCCCCC